CACTCCACACTGAGTCTACCCTCCTGTACTAAGCTCAATGGTTTCAGTTGCTTCACAGGAAAACTCATGCATCTTTGCCTTAAAGTGATTGTAAGTACATGGCTCTTTATTTTAGCCTTGTCAGTTGTGGGTTAGTGTCATTATGCATGCATCCCCAGGGGACATATGACCCAGGTGGGCTTGTTAAAACCTCTCTCACCTAGACCACAATGTGAACTGTACAACCTTTCTCTTGTGGAAAGACTGGTTACTCACCTCACAATCACCCCAAAGCAATCTTCACTCCTAGCTTCCCTGACCTCCATGTAGCATGTCCTGGACAGGAAACTCAGTATCTCCTTTAGTATGTGGCAGTGACTGAGCAGTCCCCACTTTATTCTCAGCTTTGGAGGCTCAGCCAAAACTGATCTTATTTTGTGTTATGCTTATTCCAAACAACTGCTCACTTCCAAAGCGCTCTCCTCATTCACTGAAGTCTTTGCTGGGTCAGTCTTTCCGATACCCTGCTGCCTCTTTCAGTGGAGGGAGTTAACTTATGTGAATTTAGATTTTCATGCCTGTAGAGTGAAGATTAGGGGTATTAAGAAGATAGCAGTTTACACAATACCTGCAGTTCCATCACCATGCCTCTTGATGTATTTGTCATCCTGAACCTCAAGTAGGATCTGCTATTTCCTAGAACATATTCGGTTCCTGATATGGTCTCACACTATGAGCATCTCACCTCACCTACAGCTATTGTGTAAAGATACACGTTTTCCATGCAAAAGGCCCCCAATGAAAGCTGAAATGCACATTGTTCTTACTGAAGAAACACTCATCCTTTCTAAAGACAGATGGGAAGCTGGAAATTAGCTTGTGGGAAGAGAGAACATAGAAGAACAGGGTGACCAACTCATCCTGCCTTGCTCAGGACTTTCCTGGTGTTAGTGTGAGAACTCCCACATTCTGGGAAGCTCTTCAGGTAACCAGAGTGAAAAACCAGAGTGGGAAAACCAGAGTGGTTGATCACCCCACTAGTAGGGCCCAGATTATTTCTGGCTGTGCCTGTGAGGGTCTTTGAGATTAGAATTGGAATCAATAAAGTGACTTATTGTACAAATATTTGTCCTCCCCAATGTGTGTAGGCACTAACATCAACCAGTTCACTGAGGGCCCAAATGGAACAAAAAGGCAGAGGAAGCATGAATTTGTTCAGTCTTCCTGACCTAGAACATCCATCCTCTATTGCCCTGCCCATCAGAGCTCCTAGCTCTTGAGCCTTAGGACTACAGGATTTCCACTGTGTCCCCAGTTTTCAGGTGTCTGGTCTCTGATTGGGAGTTAAATCATTGACTCACTTAGCTCTCAGGCCTTCACACTGTAACTGAATTATACTGCTGGTATTTCTGGCATATTATTGGACTTCCCAAACTCAGCAATTGGGTGAGCCAATCCCCATAGCACATCTCTTCTGATTTATCTATCTATCTATCTATATCTATCTACCTACCTACCTACCTACCTACCTATTTTTTGGTTCTGTTCCTCTGGAGAGCTCAGAGTAATAAAATCCAGGCATAAAGAAACAGAGGCTCTTGGAGTGTTAGGCTGGTCCTGAGCACACCCCAGCCTGGGTTCCAACTCTCCTCAGTGACACTCTTTCCCAGTACTCCCCTGGCTTTTCTTGTTGCTTTTACTTTGGGTAAGTGAGAGAAAGAAACATAAGCATTAGATGAGTCTTAATTCAAAGGACAAGAAAGCTGGGTTACAAATATTTTACACAAATTCTTAAAAAAGGATTTCCAGGACTTTTCACTGCATATTTCTCAGAGTTTTCAATCTACAAGGAGGAAAAGGAAATGAACCACAAAAGCAAAATGGTCTACCTTTAGCCACACAAACATGATGTGGAAGATCTACTGTTTCTTGTTCTTGGCCTACCCTACTGGGCTATTTTTCTTGTTTTTTTTTTTTTTTTTTTTTTTTTTTTTTTTTTTATTAAGGCCTACATGGACCTCTGCTGTGTATGGTTTGTTTTTTATTCTTTGACCCTTTAACAAAGAAATAATCTATTTTCTGTCTAATCCATTGGGTGGTGATAAGGATCAAGGAAGAAAAATGTAATAATGCATGTGAAAAAAATCATACTCAGTCTTCTTTTCTATAACTCTTTGGGCCACTCACACTGCCAACTCATTTTGGCTTAGTCATATGTGTTTATTCTCTCTGTCTCAAGCATTAAAACTTGCCTGTCCAAGATCCCTAAACATTTGCTTCATCATGCAGTGCCTGCCAAAAGAAAACCAAGTCCTATGAAAGGAAATAAAACTCTTGGGTAATAACAGAAGGTAAATAGGTCTCACTCTCATCCTAGTTCACACCATGGGCTTCCTTCTAGAAAGAGGGCATACAATTTTCTCATTCATTTCTCATTCGAAAGAGTGTTCTCTAGTGGTGGGAATTTCACTTCATGTAGGAAGTGATGGCAAAAACCAGATGACAGAATGATTTGAGGACAGAGAAATTGTGGAAAATTTCCTGAAATAGCAACACTCATCCATTACTAATTCCACCAATCTCTAGTTAACATCCTGAAGTGGGAGGATAAGGGATCAAAGCTAGAAACCCAACAGATTCATCCTAGTGGCCAAGTCATGGAGACTAGGAGAATTTTCTTCTACCTCTGCTATGTTTAATACTAACATGGCTATTTAAAACTATCATCATTTTCAGGGATAAGTAAACAACAAAAACCAAAAGTAGATAATATATTCTAAAACTAGAAATATGTATCTGAAATTTTCATTTGAAAACTAAACTGCATCCAGGTTATGAATATTAATGCATAACACAATCATAATTCTAATGATTGCAACAGGCATTAATTAATCAGCAAAGAAGACTGAGATATGGACCTGTTCAAATGACTGTAATCACTTTTATACACGGCACTGATTATTATTCTTACAGACCTATTCCCTTACAGGAAGCACAGTCAGCAGATCAGAAAGAGCTAAAGGAGGAAGAAATCGGGGGGAGCATTCTGTATGTCTTTCTATCTAACTTCCTCCTCCTCCCTGTCAGGCTCTGGCTTGAAAATGCATGTGTTACTCCACATATGGCTGAACTTCCGCTGAGTGGTCCTGTGCCATGGCGACAGCTCTCACCAGCTCCTACAAAGCTGCTTCCTCCATTTGTACTTCGGACCTCAGGGTTGCGACAGTTTGCCAGTGATGCCAGTCCTTAGGGGGTTACCATTTCTTGTTGGTTCCCATAAGCATACTCATGTCTTTCTAAACAGTCTCTTCATTTAACTCCATTTAACTCATGTGTACTTATCTGCTTCCTGCCAGGATGTTTCACTGATTCATGTATAGATGATAAAATTAAAATTGGGGAAAACTTTGGGTTACATAGATTTTTTTAAAAGCATCATGAAAAGAATTATTTTTTATCTAAAAATTTCACATAAAGTACTACAATACTTAATCCTTTTCCATGTAATCAGTGCAAGAACCAACTTCTTTCAGAACACTTTCCTTTTTCCAGGGTATTATACAGGTTAATAAAAGTCTTAATTATAATAATATTAAAATGTTAACTATCTTCCAAAAATTGTTTTCACCTTTTGGCAGCATTTTGGAAGATTTCATTGTGGCATAATGCCAAAAGAGAACACTGCATGGATTTGCTTTTTATTACCATAATTTGCTGCTGAAACTCCAGAGTAAAACAGGGACCCATTACCTAAAAAATTTTAGATAAAAGATGTATGAAGGCACCTAGCTTTCTTCTTCCCAAAATACATCAGAGGAGATGGACGTGAATCATGAAAACTTTTAGTTACTGAAAAAGCCAATGAAAACTCTAGATTCTTAAAAAAAAAAAAAAAAAAAACCACGCACACACACACAAGGAGATTCCATTAGCACATGCTCAACAAGTATTAACTAGTAGCAAACATATACAATCAGTCATACTTTTTTTTTAAAGTTTCACGTTTTCTCTCAGATTGCCAGTTTAGAGGTTTACATATTTTACCTTAAAAAGCATCAAATGCTGTACAAACTCCAATAAAATGTGGTTTCCTTTTTTACAATTTGAAACTTCTCCTAGTATATTATTATCAGACATGACACAGATAGATTGTAGTACCCCAATTTATCATTCGTGACAGACGTGGATGCTAAGCTAACTGATGACGACACAGAATTCCTGCATGAGCAGTCAAATCCAAGTAGACATGCTGACACCGTCTTGGAGGGATGTCAGTGAGTCTGTCTTACTGACTCACGAATGAACTGTGAAAATGGAAAGGGCAGCTCCACGCATGGATGCGATACACAGTGGCACAAGTAGCCAGGGTTTCCCCAGGCAGTGTGTGACTCGAGCGGAACACCTGTGCATCCACCCTTGTGTACAGGCAATTTGCAGTCAGTGAAACATACCTGGCTTAAAATGCAGCAAAGAACGGACTCCAGGCCACGTGTCCTCATTCAGGGTTCCAAGAACCAGAAATATTCGCTCAAGTTGATCCTGAATGTCTTTCATTCCCCGAAAAGCAGCAACTCCTTGGATCATTTCAACAAAGAGGCAGCCTACTCCTCACATGTCAAGGCAGGTGGGATATTCTGTGGAGCCCAGGAGCTCATCCGGAGGCCTGTACCACAGGGCAGCCACTTCGTTGGAGTATGTGTGGCTGGGGACGGACTTTGCTTGTGCAAGACCAAAATCTGCCAGCTTTAACTCCCCCGTGTCACTTATCAGAAGGTTCTGTGGTTTCAGGTCTCTGTGCAAAATATAATGCTGGTGGATGTAAGACAGCCCTCGCAGCAACTGAAATAAAAATAACTTCACATTCTCTGGATGCAGCCCCCCAGGGTGCTTGTCCATGTACTGACATAAATCAGTGTGCTAGAAGCTTGACGTAATTGGCAGATGTAGTTGATGTTTTGAGTATGAATCCTGAAACACATATTCAAACACAAGTGTCAGTGTCTCCTTGGTGTAGGATGATGTCATGAAGCAGCACCTATGTTAGCATGTTTTAGTCCTTTTAACAGAGACACTTCCCTGATAGCCGTGAAAGGTGTACCTTCTTCCTGCAGCCTGATCACCTTCAGGGCTACCAACTTCCCATTTACTTTGCTTTTCCCTTTGTACACGGTAGCATAGGATCCCTCCCCTAGCTTTTCCAGTTTTTCATATGAGTCAGCTTTTCCAAATTTGGGGCTTGTCGGCGAGCTGGGGCTAGAGTGCCGCCTAACTTTTGGAGACTCCTTGCCAGCAGAGGAGGACTTAAAATTAATGCATGCATTGTTCTCAGAATGCACCCTCTTTACTTGATTCGTCGGCTTCTCAAATGGGTCAAAAGTGCTCTGTGTCCTCTGAACCCTGACTTTTTTATCCTCAGGCATTGTATCCAGGGATTTGATCACTGAGTCCATCCCCTGGCAGTTCCGTGTGGACATCTTGGTGACACATATCTCATCAAAGGCAGTATCGTCTTTCTTCAAAGCGATGTGGCTGAAACTCTCCGACAAAGTTCTCCGCAACTTCTTCATCTTGCCTATCTTTTCAGCCAGCTGCGGCTCAATGAGGTCGCACATCTGGACGACGCGGGGCCCGGGCAACTTCCCTCAAACTGGTCCAGAGCGGAGCGCAGACAACGGCGAGGGCGCGTGGCGCGGGAAGGGGGCGCCTCGGCTCATCCTCCTCACCGCCGCCTCCCCGGCCGGCGGCGACGCGCAGGGCTCGGGAGGCGAGCGGCCCGGGCAGGCTCTGCCGCCAATCAATCATATTTAATTGTACAGCTTATATTTACAAATTCACCTGCTCATCAAAATTTATTTCTACTCCACAATGATTATTCAAGGGCTTCTGTGGCCATTTTGGGGCACGCACAAAATAGTGAAAAATTTGAGTTGCCTGATGCACACACCCACCACTGAGTTGAACAAGTGACATCCTGCCTTCATTCCTCAGTTGTCAAATTGTGAACAAATGTTCTTTTCTCAGTCTTCTTAATTTTACATTTGTGTGCTTCTTGTTGGGCGATTACATTGTTTAAAATGGCCCTCAAATAAAGTGTTAAAGTGCCAACTACTAAGTGCACAAAAGCTATGATATGCCTTACAAAGTGCATGTGCTAGGTAAGCATTGTTTGGCCATGCGTCATAGTTCTGTTGACCCTGAGTTCAATGTTAATAAATCAACAACACAGAAAGAAACAAAAGCAGTGGACAAAAATGTTACCAGAAGCTCAAAGGAACCTTCTTCTGTATTTCTCTTAGGTTCTGTATTCAATAACTTAGAGTTTGCACCAATATCATAGAATATAAAAAGCACAAATGAGGATTGACATTGTGTGTGTGTGTGTGTGCGCGCATGCACACATGTGTACATAAAGCAATATGGCATCTCCTAGGACCAATTTATGGCTGCCTTACACTTAAATGTTTTTGTTACAGATTAATTGGTGATCCTTTCCTTGAGGAGGGAGATTTGAAGATGAACCTGGAGGGCTAATAACACAAAGGAGTAAATTTCAAAAGTCAAAATGGATTTTTTGTGAAAACAGGCAGTTGGTGAACCAGATGATTAGAAGAGAGCGTGAAATGAAAATCAAGAACTCCTGGATGACATTGTTTGTGCTGCTTTAAGTTATGTCAGGAGCAAGCCTCTGGGTGAGCAGTTAAAGCACTGCTTAGGATGCCCATTTTTCATATGACAGTACCTGGGCTTATTCCTGGCTTGGTCTCCGGATTCCAGCTTCCTGCTAATGCAGACCCTGGGAAGCAGCAGCAATGTCTCAAGGTAGTTGGGTTCTGTATTGACTTCGCAGCTCCAAACTTCAGTCCCAGCCCCAATCCACCCATGCACGCATTTGGGGAGTGAACCAGCAGATGAGTGTGCTAGTCCCCTCCTCCCCAAATAAATACATGAAAAATTTAAAAAGGTAAAAAATAAACTTCTACCAAGTTACTCAACTAACACAACTACTTGGGAAGTGTATTAACTATGCAAATTTTCTACATCTGGCACTGTAGTAATTAAGAATTTAGCTCTGGGGGCCAGCGCTGTGGCTCACTTGGTTAATCCTCCACCTGCAGCGCCAGCATCCCATATGGGCACTGGGTTCTAGTCCGGTTGCTCCTCTTCCAGTCCAGCTCTCTGCTGTGGCCTGGGAAGGCAGTAGAGGATGGCCCAAGTGCTTGGGCCCCAGCACCCGCATGGGAGACAAGGAAGACACACCTGGCTCCTGGCTTCGGATCAGCGCAGCACTGGCCATAGCGGCCATTTGGGGGGTTAACCAACGGAAGAAAGACCTTTCTCTCTCTCTCTCTCTCTCTCTCTCTCACTAATTCTACCTGTCAAAAAGAAAAAAAGAATTTAGCTCTAGAATTGGCAGTGTAGACAGGAGACAAGGGTTAGAGGTAATCTCTGGAAAAGAGAGGGCAGAGCAAGACTGTCAGATCATATCTGATATTATAAACTCTTAATGTATCAGGTGCTTTATTCCTCAAAATTAAAACAAAATCTGTGTCTCAACAGCATTAACATCAGCAGACTCAAGTTTGAATCCCAGCTCCACTCTTTCCTAACATGAAAGCCATAGGCAAGTCACCCAACCTTAGGTTCCTAGTTGATAAAATTAGGGAGTAATGCCTGTCTCAAAATGTTGTTTAGGTGTTTAATATGACAAGCACTACACTGCTAGGCTTAAAGTCAGTTCTCAGTAAGGGACAGGAATTATACATACTCCCAGGCTTTAGTTTTCTCTTCAATTTGAAGAAACTCTGAATGAACATTATACCAAGATAAAATTATTTTAGCAAAGATCTTAAAATACTTCGAAAAGAATGTAAGTATATGGGCAGTTTCACTTCGATTACATAAATCATATCAGTACTCAACCCCTGCACCTCTTAACAGCTCAGGAATGTGGTGAGAAAAACAACAATATTTTAAAAGTTTTTAATTACAGGCATTTGGAAACCAGCTCAGAACACCTTCCTCTAGAGACCTTTCACTGAGGATAATTTCATCACTGAGCCCAAGGCTGATATGAAGAGATTAGAAATCATTTACTCGGCTGGCACCACAGCTCACTAGGCTAATCCTCCACCTGCAGCACTGGCACATGAGGTTCTAGTCCCGGTCGGGGCTCCGGATTCTGTCCCAGTTGCCCCTCTTCCAGGCCAGCTCTCTGCTGTGGCCAGGGAGTGCAGTGGAGGATGGCCCAAGTGCTTGGGCCCTGCACCCCATGGGAGACCAGGAGAAGCACCTGGCTCCTGCCTTCGGATCAGCACAGTGCACTGGCTGCAGCGTGCTGGCCACAGCAGCCATTGGAGGGTGAACCAGTGGCAAAGGAAGACCTTTCTCTCTGTCTCTCTCTCACTGTCCACTCTGCCTGTCAAAAAAAAAAATCATTTACTCATCCAGTCATTCATGTAGTCAGTCATCACTTCTTGAGTGTTTACCTGCCCTATGTGCTGGAGCTGGAGCTCAGAACATGACAGACATGATTCCTGCCTCTGTGGCCTTGTGGGGAGGGGAGGGAGACAATTACACAAACTGCTGTATAATTATAAACACGATGTACCTCGAGAACTGCTACACAAGCACAAATGTGATCCAGTGTCAGCATTCTTACAAAGAAAGCAGTCCTGGAGCTGATGGGTAATTCCAATCGAACAATGGAAACCAATACCTATCCTTAAGCAAGCAACACTTCCAAAAGTCCCCTCTTCTGCTGCTCGCTTTAGTCCTTTGACCCATGAAGCATCTCGACTTCTAGCCTCATCACCTCTTTACTTCTATGTATCCCGTTTCCCTCTCCCTGATATCTTCTCTGTATCATTTTTTCAACAAAATAGACCAAAATCCTCCTTGGAGGTAGAAGTGGAATAAGAAAACCAGTACATTTTTTAGCAGTTGTGAAAGAAAAGGTTGTGATTACCCTATGATATTAATTTTCATTACTGTACAGAAAGAAACTACAAGATTTAACAGGAGTGCTCAGTAAGAAGAGCTAACTGTGTGGTCAAATGAAAAGTCCCTGCAAAATAACACTTTACTTGAGACTGGAATTCGTAGGGATCAGCTGAGGCAGAATAAGTCATTGTGCATGGGACATAAGGGAGATAGGTTTTGAGGGAACAAAAAGAAGGTCAATGTGGCTAGAGAAGAGTGGAGAGGGATTTGAAAAATGAGACTGCATAGGCAGGAAGGGGTTAGATCATGCAGCTCTTCCTTGCCAAAAGCAACAAGAAGCCACTGAAGAGTGTTTATTCTATATTAAGAAATATAAATATTCTTTATATTTTCAAGTGAAATTTTTTAGTATCTTTCTTTGGCAATGATATTTTTTAAAAATCCAAGACCTATGATCTTCTACATCTCATTCACTATCATAATATATTCATCAAGGCTTCATTTGGAAATAAGAATGATCTGTGCCCATAAATTTCTGTGAAATTCACTTTTCTTTAGGACAAAAATCACACAGAAACGTGTGAGCAAATATATGCTACACTCACATATAAACTTATCCCAGTTCAAATTATGAAGGATATTGCAGAGCATATAGCATAACTATAGCTCAAAAAGTAGCTTTCTTTGGTTATATTGTGAAATCCGAAGTGGGCTTGTGACACAGGTTGGTTTATAAATAGGCAAATAGGCGCCTTTGTCTTCCTCTCTACTTGTAACAGACATCTCTTTTCTCTGTGTTCACAGGGGATGACTGCGAAGGCAAACAGTCTCATGCTGTTCTTTTCCTAAACACGTGGTTATTCGGTTTTAACAAGGTGACTGGTTTCCACCATAACAGATATCTGTCCACTTGTCTGAGTCCCCCAGACCATACAGTAAAAATCCATGCAACATTAGCTTTCCCACTAACATTTTACCCATTCTACTTACCTCATGCCACTAATTTTGGGTAATAGTTGAGTAATGCAAATAGGGATTCTTTCCTCTTTCCTTGCCGTTGAATTTCTATGTGATGTACATGGAGGCGATGCTATTCAGACCTTTTTGGTTCTGTGTTCTACCTCAACCATATTTCATTGCCTTCTAAGCACAGGTGGAACTCTTGCATCTCCTACTGGCTACTTACTTTATTGTGTTTTTGCAGTAACCATAAAGTAAAAAGTTTTTCAATTTCTCTTATTTCTAAGTTCCCACATTTACATTTAATTTTCAGACCCAAATTCTGTCAAATATAACTAACTCAGAAGAGCTCATTCCACAGATGCAGTTACCCTTCCAAATGCTATAGAAAAGCAAGGAAAGAGTGGTTTTCATGTGGAACCATGAGGTTTCATATTTTATGTGCAGCAGTAAGGAATTTGCCTGATGCTTACTGAAATCATTCCTAGCCTGAGAGCATATGGGGCATAAACAGTAAAGAAACTATTACTGGCATTAACCTATCATAATTAAATGGCAAACTTTGAGTTGACCTCCAAGGTCTCCTTATCTGATTATGGAGGTAAAGATACTACTTTGAGGTTAAAAAGAAAAATACTGTATTGTTCTTAAACCCAAGTAAATTATCCCTTGTCCTGAGGCCAGGCTGTAGAAGGTTTCACTCTGGCCCCCTTTACCCCAGCCCTTCCCTTCCCCACATTGCAAGTTGTCTGCTGTGCAAAGGGGAGGTACCCACTTGGAGCCTGTGCCATTTCTTCCTTCTGGACCCCTTTCTGCATTTCAGGACTTCAGAAGTCCTTTCTCAAATAGTCCTCAATGTGCTTTCAGAAT